CTGTCGCGCTATTAAAAAATAATCGCGGGGCAGAGAGCGCGCGCGAATAATAAATTTCGCGTCTTGCCGAGGGATATAAATCAACGGTAGCGGACTCTAATTTCGTTCCGATGGCGGCGGAGAGCTTCGCGCGCCGCGCCGTTTCACGCGGTGGCCCGCGCAAAGATAATTACGAAATGAGATGCGCCATTCATTAAAAATATATTTCCGACTGCGCATTCCGGCGAGGTCGAATCGATTAACATAATTGCTGCAATTCCATGATACGATACGGGGGAAAAATACTCGCGGCGCGAAACCCTCGTTTACGGAACGTTGTATATATATATATATATTACGGTAACTATTTTTACGCGCGGTTGCGTAATCGCGCGAAGCTGCGAGAGATGAAGCGAGAAACTCGCAGAGAAAACTGCGTGATTAGTAAGAAGCGAGAAAAGTAAGAAGAAAAACGGGCCTGTTCGGTCGAGACATTCCATCGTGGATTATACCGGTTCTCTCGTCGTATTTTCTATCCCTTCAACCCCCGCCGCTTCTGTGTTTAACTTTCTTACGTAAGCAGCGAAACAATCTTCACTGTCGCGTCGTCTAGCGCCGGGTATCGACTTTGAAACAATATTTTCTCTGTCCCGTATACAGGCACGGGGGCCCTTCAGCCCCTTCGCCCTCGTCCTTAATCCGCCGCTACCCGGCAAATATTTACGTCGTCGTCTTAAGTGCGGATCAAAACGCGGCGGATACGACGCGCGTCGCGTTGTTTGCGCACCGTTTCTACGCGCATCACCTCTCATCCGTGTACCCTGCGAGCACCATGTGTTTTGCCGGGGTCGGCGCGGGGAAATCGGAGTAGAATAAACAGAGGCCGATGCTCGATTTCGCCCGACAACGGGTCAATTTATTCGAAAGTACGTTCTTTCATTTCGTTCGCTAATCCGCGTTTCCATTGACGTTTGTTTGCTTTGTATACGAAATACCTTCATCCGTTTCTCGCGACAGAAACGCCGCGCCCCGGTTAGAGCGTTCGATTTACGTTAAATCGAAATTTATTCCGCCGCGCGCTCGGAATGAAATTGAATGAATTAATGAATTGTATCGGAACGGAAAGGGGAG